TAGATTCAACATATTTTTAACATTATTGAATCTGGGTATCCCAGGGGCTTCCAGACCAGCTCCACACTGGAGAACACACAAGTGCTGTTCACCACGTTAGCACACGGGGGAAATGCTGGTTAGGATGCCTTAGAGTCCACCCTAAAGAGTGCTTGGAAACTTTCAGGGTGGTAAGGACTCTAAGGCATGTGATCGTGAAGGAACTGGACTGGGAAGCTGGTTCCTGCCCTCACCTCCCATCTTTAGCTGAGGGTCAAGGCAGAGTGATGGTGGTTGAAGTAAAGGAGTGAGCTCATGAAGCATGGAGGAGACCTACCACGCAGTGGGCATGGAGCCCAGCCCAAGTGTCCCCCTGCTGTGGAGCCATGCACCACCACCAAGCATGTGAGTAACAAGGGGTACAACACCTCTCTGTTGAGTCCTCCAAGTTCTCTGTATTGGTGAGTAGTCGCTGGGGTGTTTGCAGCCCTGAGGCTGAACACATGCTTAGAAGCATTTAATACAATTTGATGACAATTGCTAACTTAGGAATTCTTTGGAGTCAAAATAAAAGGGAACATTTTAAAAAATTTACTTTTTAGTTGTAGGTGGACACAATTTCTTTATTTTATTTTTATGTAGTGCTGAGAATTGAACCCAGTGCCTCACACATGCTAGGCAAGTGCTCTACCTCTAAGCCACAACCCCAGCTCAAAAGTGAACAATTTAAACTTCCATTAGGATATCTGTCAAAACCCTGCAACAAGCATTAGTCTTAAAGGAAAATTCTAAGAACATCCTAATTAAAATAAAACTTAAAGCAACAGTATACTGAGGTTCTATTCATGCAGTAAGACAAGAAGCAACGTTTTAGAAATAAGGATTGGAGAAGAGAAGGTGAAACTCTCGTTTGTCATGGATGATAGGACTGTCTTCTGAGAAGCCTCAAGAGGATCCATGGGAATCAGAGAGTGCATGCAGCAAGAAGACTCTGGATCAACAAGCAGAAAGCGGTGTCACTCCACTCCAGCAATAGGTAGATGGAAAAGGTGATTCACAAAGATTTCTGTTTTAAGAATCTCAGTTGCCTAAGGATAACTTTAACAAAAATGTGTACAATTTATATGCAGAAAATCACTAAAAGCATTTTAAATGGCTTAAATTAATAAGAATTAATTGTGTACCATAGATAGGAAGAAGCAATACTGAAAGATAGTTCGCAAAATCTATGTAATTATAGTCAAAATCCTAAACGAATTTTTGAGGAATTTTAACTGAATCTTAAAATTTATATGGAAGAACAAAGGGCCAAAACACTCCATATGTATATATTAAAAATTTATAAAATATATGTCTACTTATGTCCTGGCAGGACTCACCCTATTCATTTCAAGACTTAACATAAAGCTTTAGTTATGAAAGCAGTGTGTAGAAGGAGGAATTGGGGATCAGAATGAGGTCTTGGGATATTTGTAGTTACATGGAAAAGCAAAATTTTATCCTTAGTCCTCACCGTACACAAAAGTAAATTCTACAAGGATTTCAGTGCTAAATGTAAAAAGTAAACTTTACAAATAGGAAACTATCTTTCCAGATTAAGGAAGAATCTTTACATTTCCCCAAAAGGGCTAACCCCCAAATTAAAGACTGATAATTTGAGAATACCTGTTTGAAAGGAAGGGAAGGAGGGAGATAAACATAAATAGTATGGAAGGAAAACCAAATAGTGGAAAATACCATTGTAGCACATAAATCTGAACAAGAACTATTAACCAGAGTCTGTAAGGCACCCTACAAACAGAGGTTCTCTGTAATCAGGGAAATGGAACTCAGCTCTACCATTTCACATGCACTAGCTTAGCATGAATGAGGATGTACAAGCAGCAAGCATTGAGAGGTGGCCCCTGGGCAGGGCCACGGTGAGTTTAAGTTTGCAGGTGGTTCAGGTACTCAGGAAATGAAGTCGGGCTGCATGTTTCAGGGTGCAGGTGCAGCCTAGCCTAGAGATATTCTTACACAGTGTTCGGGAAGCATGTGCTACAATGTCCCTAGCAACACTCTTTGCAAAGGCTAAAATTTAGGAAGTCTGGCAGGATAGAGGGTAAATAAAGTATAAAATATCTATAYCCATGAAGTCGATGACCCACAGCCACATCTCACATTGTGGACTCTTCTTCTAAAGGTAATAACAGGTGAAAACTTCAGGTGTCAAGGAATATAACGTCACAAAATCACTTTTTAAAAAATAAAACAATATAAAGACATAAGAAAGAAAATCACAGAGAATATTAGAAGCAAACTCCAAAGAGGCCACTGGCTCTGAGTGTGTTGGTGTGCAGGCAGATGGCCCTGGGATGGGACGTGGCGGTGTGGGTACTAATGGGGGCTTGGTGTTTGCTGTATTAGCACTCTTTACAATTTGCAGGAGAAGTGCTCATCAGTCCTTGCTATGTGTCAAACATTAGGGCATCAGAGCCCTATTGGGTCCGCCTGGCTGAGTGCCAGCAAGGCCCAGGTGCCAACACCTGACTGTCAGTGAGAATCCCATGTAGAGCCCTGAACAGCTTCCTCCACCCAAGCAGGGGTGACCCTTGGCTCAGGAGAACAGTGCTGTTTACTCCCAGAATGTTAAACAGCAGCTGAGACTGGTGCTGGAGGCAGCTAGTAAATCAGAGGACCCGGTTCTGAATTCCCACCTGAGGTAGGAACTGCTTTCCTAGGCCAGGCTGGCCTGAACTTTGGACACTGTGATGTTGTGTGTTCTCTGCTTTGGTTTTTCTTGGGGGATTTTTGGCTTTTGTCAAGGTCATTGTTATTAGTTAAGAGTAGTTGAACATAAGATAGTTGTCTGGACAGATTTCTATTTTGAACCTTTTTATTTTATTAGAAATAAGAGCTTAGTAAGGGGCCTGCCTTTGGTCATATAAACAGGAGGGAGCCCTATAACCAGCCGTTCTGAGAAGGCTTCCCCCACCATCGCTACTCAACTTCCTCTCACTACCTGGCCCTCGAGTGTCACAGAGGAAGGTTCTCCTCTGTCCACTGTGGTCTCAGGAGTTGTGGCTACTGCACGGTCTCCTAAGGGCCTCTGGTCGTTTATGCTTGCTTCTTGTGAGCATGAAGGAAGGGAATTCAGTGCACCGAGACTGACAGAAAATGCTTCTACCAGGTGGTGTGCCACTAACGATGACTCAGCTCTCTGGAGGAGACTAGGATCGGGGGAAGCCATGGAGGACTGTAAATATTAATGCCACGGCCAAACACTGATTTCCAAAATAGAAGAAAACATATTTGAATAAATTTGAAAATACCACTCTGAAGCTTAAATTCCTGAGAGTTGAGTGGCATGTGGCATGGAGACAAGTCTGTTGAAGGTTGCATCTTGTCCAGGTCAGGAGCTGCTGATTAACTATTCAGGTTAATTTAGAACAAGTGTAAATGTATTTCTATACTGAGGCTGGCAGCTCCTCATGGTGCAGGAGAGTCAGCAAGTGGGTGCTGTGGTCTGAGGGCAGAAGGAGGACTTGTTCACCCGGCTCACAGGCTGCAGAGGAGAACCGTGCAGAGCCAGTGGACACGGCATAGCCTCGCTGTCACACAGACCCAGGAACAGAGGCACCACCCCTAAGCCACAGGGGATTCGGGTGCTTTGCATTTTAATTTTCCTTATTGTTCATCATATTTTGCATCGTACACAATGATGTAGGACTTACATAAAAATATACAATTATAATACAAAAATTAAGATTCTCCCCATGTTACCAGTGAGAAGACAGAATGAAAAACAGTTTTCTTACTTTTCTTACACACACACAAAGAGACCCACAAAATACCTAGAGACAGCTCTAATGGAAAAGTGGATGTGGGATTGTATGAGGAAGTAATTCATGTAAGAAGATGCAAAGAGGTGTGCAGCACAACTGTGCTCTTGGTAGTGAAATACACTCTTCCAAGTTTAACTCCTCAATAAAACAAAGCCAGCAATGAAGTTTTCTTTTTAGAATTTGACAAAATGATTCTGGAGGATAACTTCTGCCTAATTATCTACAATAAAATATMTTTTTAAAGAATCAGACATTATTAAAATCTCTGTGGCCGTTTTCTCTTAGAAGTTGCATTCAGCTACCAACAAGGATGGAACAGGGTCAATAGCAGGTTGCTGGCATTTGTTACAGCTCTGGAAACGTCCAGGGGCACTTTAATTCTCCACTAAAAGGGAAATTTTTCCTTTTCCCCCATAGGTCAGTCTGGGGGGTGGGGAACTGTCCCCTTTGACAGGGTTGGATATAGTGGTGTGTTTGGATCACAAGCTTGTTTGGGCAGGGCTTATGTAAGGCAGCACCAGGCATGTGCTGGCCACTGCAGACAGGCCAGCTCAGGTGGTACAAACACAATCTCAGAATCTGTCAACACTTTTTCTTTGCCTTTTAAGACTTTTGCCAGTTTACCTAACAAAGTTCAACGGTATTCAGAAGCTGAGCTTTCCTCCTCCGCCCTCAGTTTTACAGGTGGTGAGCCAGGGGCTCTGGCTGCCTAAACAAATCACAGTCGGAAGTTCAGAGGCATTTGCATCACCTGAGCTGGCACCTGTCTGCAGTGGCCAGCACATGGCTGGTGCTGCCTTACATAAGCCCTGCCCAAACAAGCTCCAGCCAATGTGATCTAATTGCCCCACCATATCCAACCAGTGTCTCAGGGGACAGTCTCCCACYCCCAGACTGACCAATGGGGAGAAAAGGGAAATTTTCCCTTTTACTAGGAGCATCAAAGTGCCGCTAGATATGTTTCTGGAGTTGTGACAGGTGCCAGCAACCTGGTATTGACCCTGTCCTGGCTCATCCTCTTTAAGAGAAAACTGCTTCAGGCCTTTGAAATGAGTGCCAGCCACCTCTAATAGTAAAATAGTAAACTAATACCTTGGCAGCAGGAGAAGGGAGGTGGCATTGGCTGGCTGACCACCCTCCTTCTCTGCACTTTGTTATAAAAGCTTCCCTCTGCAGGGATCATCCCCATGTGTCAGCAGAGGGCCCCAGAGGTACCATGGCTGCTCTTGGCATTACCCTGGCACTGCTGGTGTGGCTGGTCACCCTCCTGTTCATATCCATCTGGAAGCAGATCCACAGCAGCTGGAACCTGCCCCCAGGACCTTTCCCACTCCCCATCATTGGGAATGTTCTCCAGGTGGACTTGAAGGATATTCCCAAATCTTTTGCCAGGGTAAGAGAAACATTGTTATTTTAGGGAGAATAAGTCAGGAATGAGATCTAATACATGTGTATTCAATTCATTGTCAAAAAAACTGTTGCTTTCTAACACCAGTCTTTTATGGAGTAACAGGATGGGTAGCAGCACCCAGGAATCCCCTTCAGAAAGCTCCACTGGTGTTGCAGCCTGGGCACTGAACAGGGAGGATGGGCATTAAACACCAGGCCCAGAGGTGCCATGGAACCAGAGTGATCATTGGGAGGTTTGGAGCAGTTGGTGCAGCCATGGGCAGCTCCCACAGAAGCAAGGGGTGCATCCCAGCTGGTATCTACCATGCTCTACCCAATACCAACACCCGCCTCCCATTGTGGCTGAGCGCACCCTGTGAGCTAACCAAAGCCAGTGTGCTCTGGGGTACAGGGGTGGCACTTGGTATTTGTATGAGGTGTCATTATGTATGATAGAGGCTCCAGGTCAGCCAGCAGTGCCCTGGGGTCCAGGACCTTGACTTAGGAAGTGAACAATGGGGTGACAGAAGTGGGCATTGGCTACAAGGCTGCAAGGGAGGGACATGAGGAGCCAAGGTCCAGAGTTGGTGTACAGACAGGGAGAGATGCTCCTGCAAATGCAGCAGCCTCTTGTGGAGGAACTCCCTACACCGGCCGCACAGTCTTTCCCCACATCCTTCCAGTTCTCTGGTGGATTACAGTAACAGTAATCAGGCGAAGCCATCTTGAGTCAGTCACCTTCACCCACTTCCCGGCTCACAGTTTGTGTTGGTCCCTGCAGCTGGCGGAGCGCTTTGGGCCTGTGTTCACACTGTACTTGGGCACGCGGCGCGTGGTGGTCCTGTATGGCTACAAGGCTGTGAAGGAGGTGCTGCTGAACCGCAAGAACGAGTTCTCCGGCCGAGGGAAGATTCCTGCATTCCACCTGTATGAGCAAAAGGGTGAGTGTGTCTCCTAGCAGCAGGTGGGGCAGACCCAGAGGGACAGTGGTAGGTGCCCACCACGTTGCCTGGCCAAACCCACACTTACCGTTAGTGACAACAACAGAATAAAGGCAGAAAAGCAGGAGACCCTCAGGCCCTTGGGTAATGGCTCGTGCCTGTGAAACCTGCTGCAATGTTCCCACTGAGCAGGTGCCCTGTCCACACCACGGGGCTGCCGGGTATCCACACTGACCGTGGTGCAGAGAGAGGCAGAGAGAGGCAGAGAGGCTGTCTCTGAGCCTGCACCAACCCTTCCCAGGCCTTGCTGCCTTGGGCCCGCACTTCTTGGAACCCTTTCCACTCACAGCCTGAATGGCCTGTGGGGTGTAGATGGCTCCACCCAACCAGTCCCCTCCCCTGCCATGAGGCACCCAACCTGACAGACACTGTCTGCAAGCGAGCAGCATCAGACCGTGCCAGCAGCAGCTGGTGATCTCCCGAGAGAGCCCCAAGGGGTGGACATTCGGAGGCCAGGAGGGGTGAAGCAGACTTGCAGGCAGTCTCTCCTCTCTTGGCCTCAGCTTCACTGCTGCTAGAGCCCTGAGTTTAACCCTCGCAGACATCTCCTTCCCTCCCATGGGGAGGAGGGCTGGGTGGGGCTGGCTGCTCACCCTGCCAGCATTTCCCAACCCCTGACTGCAGCTCTGCCTTCTGTGGTGCGCCCAGCTCCYGGGAGTCCCTGCCACCCCTCCTTCCTGCTCTCACCCTGCCTGCACATTCTCTACTGCTCCCGGTCACTTCAGGGGATCCGAAGCAGGTCAGAAGTGAACAGCATCCCGTCTGCTGTCACCAGAAGCTTCTCCCTGTCGTGGGGGCTTCAAGCCAGGGAGCAGGCACTGCCTGGTTGTGTGCGTTTCCCAGATTCCACCACCTCACAGGCAGAGAGGTTTGGCTCCCCCTTCTCAGCACTGGACTTGTTTTGCTGCGCTCTCTCAGTAAAGCCATGCCAACTGTCTTAGTCCCTGTTGTCAGCATCAGAAGAGTTGCTGGAGCCTGGGAGACAGGGTCCTGCTATGGAGCAGTGTGATCCTGGCTTAAGGCCCATATCTGCCCCCATGGTCCAGGGCCTGTGAGCTGAGGCAGCAGGGCAGAGCCCAGAATTTGCCTCTCCAGGGTCTGTGCTGCCTCTGCCTGGAGACTCCGAATCCCTATTTTTATTCATCCCATGTGGCCCAGTCTGACAGTGAAAATCTGCTGGACCCTGAAAAAGAGATACGTCTAACCCTTCAGGGATAATGATGTGAATGCTTGTTTTTGGCTAAGATAGAGCACAGGTGTGTGACCACATGCCAAGGGAACTGCATGCATCACTTGAGGAAGTCTCAACAGACTCCCAGAAAAGTGCTCCCACCAAAGTTCTCAACCTGGCTAGCGGCCTCCTCACGACATGGCCCGTGGAGCTCCGCCCTCCTCCCCACCCTTCCGGTGAAGTTGGAACCATCATTTGGCCTGTATCTCCCACTTCATGTCACATGCTGTCCTTGCCCCTCTCAGGTCAACCAGCCTCTTTCTGGAAAGTTCCTTGGGCCCTGGTGACCACACATCCCCAGGGTACTTTCTCAGCATCCTGCAGGGCCTCTCACCAAGCATCCCCTGTGTGGTCGTACAGTTAAGGTGGGAGGAACTTCAGGATGCACGTCCCTGTGTCTGTGAGGGTGCTACTGTGACCTCTGTGGCCCAAGAGTGCCCAGAATCTCAGAGAATGCCTGGCCCAGCGGTGCCAAACCTGCTTCTTGAGGAAGTGATGAGGGGAAAAGTAAGGGGAGGGAGGCCAAGAGCGAGGCTGTGAGGGGCGCTGGAGTGCAAGGAGGCTGAGCAGGGCTTGTCTGAAGGGATCTGAGGCCTTCACCAAGGAGTGAGAGGCCAACAGGGCAATAGAAGTTGCATTTGGGGAAGATAAAAATGTCCACAGAGTTGACTGGGATAGGAATGGAAGCACCCCAGCACTGTACAGAGAAAGCATTTCTTTGGGTCTGTTGATTCCAAATGTTCTTACCCTGGGAGGAGAGGGCCGTGTGAAGGGATGGTGCTTGGCCTTCCCAGCTGCAGGTCCTTACAATAGGGTCTGGCGACCTTCAGGTCTTGGTCAAAGCCACTGCTGTGAAGCCATGAAGAGATGAGATGAAATGCTTGTTGAGCAAGGGTTCAAATCCCTGGGGACAGAAGGGCTGTCCAAGAATTCTGTCAATAGGCAGGAGAGAGGTGACCTTGGAGTTGGAGCTCTCCCTTGGAGTTGCCACATGAGGTTTTATTTGGCATGGAGAAGGCTCTGAGGAAAGTGCAGAGCCAAAGGCAGTGAAGTGACACCATTTCATGAAGGCACCTGGGAGGGGGGGTGCCAGAGAAGCACTGCATGTCCCCTGCCTCCTCCGGTGATTCTTCCTCCCCTGCACACCCTGCCCAGGACCCAAAGGCCCTATGAGGACCACTTCCTGCCCCAGCCCCCTACCCCCAAGACCTGGGCCTTGGGGTGACTTCTGCTGTCCCTCCTCCTTAGGAATTATTTTCAATAATGGACCCACCTGGAAGGACATTCGGCGGTTCTCCCTGACCACCCTCCGGGATTACGGGATGGGAAAACAGGGCAATGAGGAACGGATCCAGAGGGAGGCCCACTTCCTGCTGGAGGAGCTCAGGAAGACTCGGGGTGTGTATTCTGGAGCAGGTCCAGAGGGAGGCCCACTTCCTGCTGGAGGAGCTCAGGGAGACTCGGGGTGTGTATTCTGGAGCAGGTCCAGAGGGAGGCCCACTTCCTGCTGGAGGAGCTCAGGGAGACTCGGGATGCTGTTCTTGGGCAGGCAGCAGGGAGGGGAGCTGTGGGCAGGCCCCTGGAGGGCAGGGATCCACCCGGAAGCAGCTGGCAGCTACAGGGACCCTGGACCAGAGTGGGTCATGATGGTCCACAGCCACTGCATTCTGGACTCCAATTTCCAGCTCTGCTTTTAAGGGAGCAAGAGTGATCCCCACATGACTGCTGAGCCCAAACAGCATTGAGAAGTAGACAAACCTTTGGCGCCTTCTGTGGCTTGGCAGCTTTCAGGACGGTCCCCAGGCATCAGTGGGAGTGCTGGGGCTGCGGTGGGCCTGTGCATACTTTCCCCTCCCTAACATCTCACCTGTGTTCCAGGCCAGCCCTTCGACCCCACCTTCCTTGTGGGCTGCGCACCCTTCAACGTCATAGCGCATATCCTGTTCAACAGGCGTTTCAACTACGACGACAAGAAGTGCCTGCGGCTCATGAGCATGTTTAATGCTAACTTCTACCTGCTTAGTACTCCTTGGCTGCAGGTGAAGCCCACTCTATCCTTTTCCTTAGTCTTCAATTGTGCAGTTATGTTGGAAGAAGGCAGATTCAGGTGGTGGGGGACCCATAGGCTCAAGGAAGCCTGAGATGGGGAGTGTTTTGGAGGCGTCCAGGCAGCCCCTAGGCCCTTCTTGGGATGCCCTGGGCCCTGAGTGCCCCTTTCCCTAACCTAGGCATTCATATAGACCACAGAGGGTACCCTGCCTGGAGAATGATCTCGAATATTCTAAATAATACAATAATGACAACCACAAATTAAAATTTGAAGGTTAGTAGCTCAGCACACACAATTTGGCTGCATTCAGAAAAAATAGTTTTATAAATTTCTTTCTTTTCAGCTTTACAATAATTTTTCGGACTACTTACACTATCTACCTGGAAGCCATAGAAAAGTCATAGCAAACGCGTCTGAAATAAAAGCGTACACACTTGAAATGGCCAAGGAGCACCTCCAGTCACTAGACCCCAGCTCTCCCCGGGACTTCACCGACTGCATGCTCATGGAAATGGAGAAGGTACCCAGAGCCACCCTGCTGGACTTGATGGGGTGGGGTAGGGCACATGCACCTCAGATCCATGCTGCCACCTGTTGGCTGGCATCCAAATTGCCCTCTGTGTTACTGGATGCTCTTAGTGTTGCAGAGGAGGCACAGGGATGGTGGGCTGGCACCTTGCTTCAGCTCCCTTCAGGCCAGGCTGGGTTCCCCAATGGTGCCAAAGTTCCAGGGATCCCAGACATCCCCAGTTTCATCTGCCTGCAGCTCCTAGGACCCTCCTCTAGCTCAGAATGGTGAAGCCTCCTTCCTTTCTTTTCTCTGGCTTACAGACAGCATGCAACTTTCACACTGACTCCCCTGGGCAGACTCCTAGGCTGTCAGAATCTCACCCTTAGCAAAGACCCTCTCTGTCTCCCAAAGGCACCAGCCTCCCTCTGGCCTGGAAGGAGGCTGATTCCAGCCCCTGCAGCTGGAGAGTCATCAGCAGAGGTCCTGGCTTGGCAGGTCACCCAGATTACCTCCCCTTTCCCAGGATAGCCCTGGCACTGTTGATAGAGCCAGAGTCCTATGGCCTGGGTGAGGAGCCTAGCCTGCCTCGGCCAACTTCCTGGGAACCTCAGTTTCTCCAGCTGTGAGGTAGAAATAATGGGGTCCTGGTTGCACTGGGAGAGCTCTCATATCCATGGCTGTCTGTTGAAGGGCAACAGGTTGTCTCTTCAGTCATCTGAAGACAATTTCTTACCAAGTCTCTCTCTGTCTCTAAAAGCACAGTGGAGAGTCTGGGTACACTCTGGAAAACGTTGCTGTGACCTTGGCTGACCTGTTCTTTGCGGGGACGGAGACCACCAGCACCACCCTAAGATATGGGCTCCTGATTCTCATGAAATACCCAGAGATTGAAGGTATGCAGATGAGAAGCCAAAGGACCTCCCTGCAGGGCCAGCCTTGTGTGTTCAGGCCTGGGCTCTCAGTCTGAAGTTGCTTTTTAGCCTTCTTTTGTACTGTGGGATCCCTGGGTGAACTGCTTTGAAGAGAAATGTCCTTGTAGGTACCAGGCACCTGGTACCCTTGAACACTGATAGACCACACTCCACTGGGGCCTGGGTGCAGAAAGAACAGTCCAACACTGGAGAGGAGAGAGGCGCTGGACGTAACTTCTGCACTATAGACACACTGATAACAGTCAACCCAATGCTCCAGCTGCTCTTGAGGAAGACTTGGCCTTCTAGGCAGAATGGGGATCAGGGCAAGTCTCAGATCTCCCTGGGCATCTCACTCCACAGGGCTCTGAAGTGGGAACCCAGGGAGAAGTGAGGAGGCCACCTCCTGCCCTGGAGGCACCTACCTGCACACAGGCTAATAGGACCAACCTGCCTTAAAGAGGGAGCAGGGGAGCTGTAGCTTGGGGCAAGGGAGCCCAGAGGCCTGGGACCTCCACTCTCTGAGCTGGGCCCACCTACTGCTGATGGGACGTGGCTCCCACTGAGTGCTGGCTTGGGGCAGACCTGGGATGCACTGTGCTCCTCTAGCTCCTCAGTCCTGGAGAACAGATGGAAGACATGAAGCAATTTCCCCCAAGAGTATAGGTGTGCAACCAGCCCAAGTCAGGCCCTAGAACCTGGTCTTTATTTCAGCAAAAGCTTTGTTTTGTTTTAATCATAAAAAGAACCAAAAGTCCAGGGAGGGAAACATTTTACAGATCTGCAGCATTTGTAGGAGAACTTTTGAACATTGTGTATAGAGGAATCCTGTATTCAAACAGTTTAAATTATTGACCATGGTGAATTTCCAATATAAACAAAGAGAATAAACATGATAGACACCCTACATTCTTTGCCAAATTTAACATGTATTAACATTTTTCAATATTTGGTTTGAGCTCTTAAGGAAACATGTTACAGAACCAATCAGTCTTGCCCCTTTGTGCCTCCCTCCCCACAGAGGGCAATGCTTAGGGATTGTAAGGAATAATAATAAAGGGGAGACACAGAGACAAGGTGCAGAGGCAGGGAAGGTGACAGAATGGCTCCTGGTCCAAGAAGCCACTTTTATTTATACCAATAGATTACATTAAGTCATTAGTACCATAACCACATTATTGTTTAGAGTATCAGTGAAGTTGCTTATTCTGCAGTTACATTTTATTTTTATAATATGTAATGTCAGGAGCTTTGTGCAGTCCTCAAGAAAGTCCATTGTCTGAAGTTACTGTCATATGGGCAGCCTAGGAGCACCAGATCTTGGTGAAACATTGTAGTTATCTAGCAAACAAGTTCTTCTATTCCCAGGAGCTACGTGCTTGCAATCAAGGTTGAGGCTTGATGAGGCTCTAACACAGAGGCATCTCAGGGCATTGCTATACCAGTTGACACTGCACATATATTAGCTATATTATTAGATCCTAAGAGAGATTACAGGGCATTCTAAGGTTGGGAAACAGGATACCTGTTATCCCCTGAGGGGGTTTCCCACCAGGGGAAAGCTTCCCTGTACATTTCCATGGTTAGAATCCCTACAAGGGATGGCTGTGCATCATCCCTACCTGTGACCCAGTACATTTATCAAAAACTAAATATCAACAAATAGCTCACAGTAAGTTGTAGTGCCTTAGTATTTTACCTGGGTACCGTACTATACATACCTTTTTGCAATTTTCTTTTTCACTCAAAGTGAAAATCCCACAGGAAATTTCAAACATAGAAAGTATAAGAATTTGCTGAAGGCTGCTATTACCTCAGTCAGAGGAACTTCAAGAAGTAGACTGTGCATGTCTGGTTGTATTACTGCAGAGATTTCCAGGACCCATTTGTTATTCTCTGTTCCTGACATGCAGAGAACTGAATAAGCCATCTCCAGCTAAAATAATTGAAGCAAAAGTTTCTGTAGACTATAAATGACCTCCATGAGCATAACTATTATAGACATTTGTGAAGATGATACCCAATAATTTGAAGTATCTGGGGCACAAAAAGCACTCCATAGATACTCTACAAAATCCATAGGGTGGGTTTGGTGGATGGCTAGAAGGGTGATTTGGTAGATGTATTGAGTAGATGTGTGGGTGGAAGGATGCTGGCTTGCTGGAGGGATGACTTGATAGGTGTGTGGGTACATGAATGGTGGAAGGATGAAGGGATGAGTCCTCAGGTAAGTGGACAGATGGATAGGTGTATGGGTAAGTGTTTGGGTGAGGGTTAGGGTGAGTGATGGATGGATGAGTGGGTGGATGCATGGAAGAGTGCTTGGTAGATGTATGGATGGAGGGTGGACGTTCAGCCTGGTGTCAATCCTTTACATTGCTCTCATTCATGCCTTGGCAGAGAAACTTCATAAGGAAATTGATAGGGTGATTGGGCCAAGCCGCATCCCTGCTGTCAAGGACAGGCTGGAGATGCCCTACATGGATGCTGTGGTGCATGAGATTCAGCGGTTTATTGACCTTATACCTTCCAACCTGCCCCACGAAGCAACGCAGGACACCATGTTGCAAGGATATGTCATCCCCAAGGTCAGAGTGAGCTGGTGTGCACTGTGAACACCTCCTATTACCTCACCATCTAGTTTACCAGGCAGGTTGGGGATCCCAAGGCTCTGTGGCCAGTGTGGCTGGATGGCAGGGACAGGCCAATACAGGGTGCCAGTTCCCCATTGGTCCTTGTCTGGTCCTGGTGATTAGAGAAAGGGATGGAATTTAAGGAAGTGCCTCCTTGATGGCACCTGGGAGTGTAGCATATTCCAGTCAGAGTCCACTGCCTGAGTACTTTAGGGCTTCCTCTCCATTTAGACCTGACACCTGGCTGCTGTCCAGTCCTTAACTGAGCACTGTCCCACCGAGAAATGTGCTGTCCTGTCTAATATGGGATTAAGGCTGACAGCAGACATTTACTCGGTTGTCTGAATGACTGACAGATCTGTGTCTCCTGCAGGGCACTGTTGTGATTCCGACTCTGGACTCCCTTCTGTATGATGACCAAGAATTCCCAGATCCTGAGCAGTTTAAGCCAGAGCACTTTCTGGATGGAAATGGGAAGTTCAAGTACAGTGACTATTTCAAACCTTTTTCTGCAGGTGAGCAGGGTTCAAGAGCAGCACCTCAGCCTGAAATGGTCTCCTCTCCCCTCATTGCTCTCTGTGTCTCTGCCACCAGCCAGCTGTGCACCACCTCCCAGCTGTCCTCATCCCTGATTTCTACCCACAACACAAACCAAGTGTGCTCCCCGATTCAGAGAGGCTGGGTGACATTTTCACAATAAGTTCCGGAAGAAAGGTTTATGGGTAGACTATTCTTTCCACAGAGTGGCCGCTTTCCYTCATTCATTGTCAAACTGTTTCTACTTAACAAGACAGTGAAAACCTCTGCCGTTTTAAATCAGGGTTTTAACAGACTCCTCTCAGGTTCCCTGGACTCATCTGGGAAGCAGTGCAGCCTTCCCTGGGTGTAAGGGGTGCCTCCCTGCGGCCCCTTGCCAGGGCTGCACCTCGGGTTCTGGTGAGGAAGACTCCACCACCAGCTCGACACACGTCCTCCTGGTGTGTGCACTGGCAGCCAACTCACCCACCCCATCCCATGGGCACCATGGGTCAGCACTGGGTGTTGACTTCACCAGGCAGAGGCCATTTTTCCCAACCGAACAGAAGTTTTTGCAGCTGAGTTCTGCATGGCCCCCACACAGGTCACGTCATGGAGACTCTGTTCTTTGCTCTTATGCTTCTTTCAGTGGGTGTGGGGAGTATGTGCTGCTTTAGGGTGTGGTTGCCCCAGCCTCCTCTGGCCCTGCCCTGAAGCCTCACGGTTAATGGTGTGTCTCTCTGAAACCCGCTGTGTCTCACCAGTACTGCAATTACTTCTAGGAAAACGAGTGTGTGTTGGAGAAGGCCTGGCCCGCATGGAACTGTTTCTGCTCCTGTCCACCATTCTGCAGCATTTCAATCTGAAGTCTCTTGTTGACCCGAAAGATATTGATCTTAGTCCCATTGCAATTGGCTTTGGCAGAGTCCCACCTCACTACAAACTCTGTGTCATCCCCCGCTCATAAGTGTAAGAAAACACCCTGGACACCTCTGTCCCCAAGTGCAGCCTCTGAGAGTTCCTCAGTGCTCAGGAAGTTGCTCCCCCAGTCAGGAGGCAGGTGGCCCCCCAGAGTGAGTTCCACCAGAGCTGATGTTTCCAGTCAGTCTTCAGACAGTGCAAAGCAAAGTCCAGTGAAGATGTGGTCAACCTAAACCAACAGGCGGTTGAGGCTGTGCTGTGGTCCTAGACACAGTGCTTTTTGAGACTTCTGAAAAGGCAGAGCTATACTGTTACCAGTCAACACTTACCCGGAAAGACTGGTGTGAAATGAGGACACTAGTTTGGAACAGGGAGAGGCAAGGACATTTTGCCAGGATTTATTGGTCTGGACAAAAGGCTCTTTCCATCTTGCTTCAAGATGGAAAGTTTTTCCTTTTACCTCATTGTGAGCATCAATTTGTCCTTTGTATGAAATAAGTATGAAAAGTCAACAGGGCCACCCATTATTATTTCTTACTATTTGTCATTGCATGGAACAAAACAAAACTGAGTGGTGGTGTGAAAGGAGCAGCAGATCCGCCCTTTGCCTTCCATACCTGCAACCCACCCTGAGCCTGAGCTTTCCTTCCATTGGGGTGGCACAGCCCTTCCCAGGCTGCACACTTCCCGAGGCACTGTGTACTCTGTGAGTGTCTTCAATAAAATGAGCCAACTTCTGAGCCAGCAGATGGTGTCCTCTGTCCTCCTGACCCTCAGCCTCCCTCATGTAGGGTCTCACTGGGCTCACCTGTGTCGCATTTCATGACTAAAACATAACTCAGGGCCACTCCAGGTGAATTGGGCTGCATGAAATAATCACACAAGAGACAGAGATACTTTTTCTTTGAGTCCTTTGATGGCTTCTCTGACCTTAAATGTCGAGAGAGAGAGAGAGAGAGAGAGAGAGAGAGAGAGAGAGAGAGAGAGAGAGAGAAAGTGCACATGTATGTGCTGAACCCTTTTATTGGGGAGATGCCATTCAAATGAGGCAAGGGGTCAGGTTTCAGGGGGTTGAGTCTTGCTTCCTGATGTCTGCTGTCAGAAGGTTGACTGACATCTAGGAAGGTCATGCCCAAAGGCAGAGCAAGAGAAGGGGACACACAAAGGTAGTTTCCATGGAACATTCTGTCCCAACAAGGCAAAGGGGTAGGATTACAAAAGAATAGGTGAGTGTATAGCTCAACCCCAGGGGTATGCTTACTCAGAAGATTGGTCTTGCTATCTGAGTGGGGGAAAAGACCAAGTTACAAATCATGGCACTACCACTCCAGACTACAGTGATCTTTCAGATCCCCATGGTGCATCGGGACTGGAAGGCGTGGTAACTTAATGTGGCTCCACACGCACCTGGACAGTGCAAGGCAATCTGCCCATCTCAAGATGCTGAATTTAATCAGATGCTCTGAGGTCCTTCTACCATGTAGAATAACCTGTTTCTTGGTTCTTGGGAATGAATGTGGGCATTAGTGGGAAACCTTCTGAAGGGCCACCAGTTCCCGGAGGCACCTGTCTGTGTCCCCTCCCAGTGCCACAGTGGCAAGACTGCCTCCAGCAGGAAATGGTTACAGTGTCTTCTTATTTGCTGTGGGACAGAAAGGCTTATACTTGAGTGACTACTGGGAAGATTCTGTGTTCCCAGCCAGTGGGGAGATGCTAGGAGGGAGGGAGTTGAGGCTTACTGTTGAGACATCACCTGGCTCCAGATTTCTGAGGGTAACTTTCTGTCAGCAGCATCCCTAACTGTTCTCACTGGGTGGTTTCCAAGTCTGGGCCTTCACAGGTTCTACTATCTCAAGGGAGGGGCACTGGACCCAAAGGTAATGTCACTTCAGAAAATTTGTCCCACCATAAGAAATACTCCAAGGCAGGACTAATTTTCCAAAGTGAATACACAAAGTGAATAACAGATTATGGCATCCGCACACAAAGAAATACTTTGTAGTAACATCATGCTGTGCCACACCCAGCCCTCTGAGCTCCAGGTCATGTTCCTTCTCCAAAAATGAGGACTCTGAATCCTCATTAGGCCCTGACACTGTGTACCTCCCCACTACATATGGCTGCTACCAAAAAAGAACCAGCAGGAGGCACACTCCTGACCAGGGGTGGGGATTGAGGGAGCCAGTGGCAGGGAAAGACATGTCCCATGAGGTGAGGAGGTTGCCTGAACATCATCAACTGTGAGTAGGAAGAGGAGAAAATAATCAAAGACTGTCCTGTTGTTATGGTGTAGATGAGGTGTCCCCAGACACGTGTGTGAGCCAGTGTAAGGATGTTCAGAGGTGAAGTGTCGGGGTGATGACAGCCTGAACCTGATCTGTGTATTGATCCCCTGACAGGGATCAACTGGGTGGTAACCACAGGCTGGTGGGGTGTGGTGGAGGAGATGGGCCCCTGGGGCTGCCTTTGGGTATATATTTTGTCCATGGTGAGGGGACTCTGCTTCCTGGTGCCATGTCCTGAATGGAGTCTCATTGTAGTTCTGATTTTCTAAAGCTTAATTTTGCTGGATATAAGATTYTTGGTTGGCATCCATTTTCTTTCAGAGCTTGGTATATGTTGTTCCAGAATCTTCTAGCTTTCAGAGTCTGGGTTGAAAAATCTGCAGATATCCCAATTGGTTTCCTTCTATCTATAATATGATTCTCTTCTCTYRTGGCTTTTAAGATTCTCTCCTTATTCTGTACGCTAGGCATTTTCATTATAATGTGCCTTGGTGTGGGTCTGTTGTGATTTTGTACATTTGGCATCCGGTAAGCCTCTTAGATGTGGTTTTCCAAATTATTCTTCATGTTTGGAAAATTTTCTGATATTATTTTATTGAATAGATTATTCATTTCTTTGGTTTGGAAATATATGTCTTCCTCTATCCCAATAACTCTTAAATTTGGTCTTTTTATGCTATCCCATATTTCTGGAAGAAACCATAAGCAGAACATTCAAGAACATTCAAGAATGTTGAATGTTGATGCCAACCAAGAATCTTATATCCAGCAAAATTAAGCTTTAGATTTGATGATGAAATAAAAAACTTCCATGATAAACAAAAGTTAAAAGAATTTACAACTAGAAAGCCTGTATTACAGAACATCCTCAGCAAAATATTCCATGAGGAGAAAATGAAAAGAACAATGAAAATCAGCAGAGGGAGATATTACACTAAAGGAAAAACTAGTCAAAAAAAAAAAAAAAACAAGTCAAGTTAAATACCAAAAATAAACAAAAATGGCTGGGAATACAAACCATGTCTCAATAATAACCTGAATGTTAATGGCCTAAAGTCACCAATCAAAAGACATAGATTGGCAGATTGGATTAAAAAGACCCAACAATAGGCTGCCTCCAAGAGACTCATCTGATAGGAAAAGACATCTCAGACTGAAGGTGAAGGTTGGGAAAAATCATACCTCTCACATGGACTGCGGAAGCAAGCAGGGGTTTCCATCCTTATATGAAATAAAGTAGACTTCAAGGCAAAGTTAATCAAAAGGGATAAAAAAGGGCATTTTATACTGCTCAAGGAAACCATATACCAACAAGACATAACAATTATAAATATATATGCCCCAAACAATGGAGCATCTATGTTCATCAAACAAACTCTTGTCAAGTTCAGAGTCAAATAGACCACAACACAATAATTCTGGATGACTTTAACATACCTCTTTAACCACTGGATAGATCTTCCAAACAAAAGCTGAAGAAACTACACAACCAATAACCTAGACTTATCTGACTTACATAGAATACTTCATCCACCAATGAGCAAATACACTTTCTTCTCAGCAGCATATGAATCCTTCTCTAAAATAGACCATATATTATGCCACAACACAACTCTTAACAAATACAAAAAAGTAGAGATACTACCCTGCATTTTATCAGATCATAATGGAATTAAATTAGAAATCAATGATAAAATAAAAAATAAAAGCTACTTGAACCCCTAGAAACTAAATAATATGCTATTGAATGAACAATGGGTTGCAAAAGACATCAAAGAGGAGATTAAAAAATTCTTAGAGGTAAATGAGAATGCTGATACCACATATCAAAATCTCTGGGACACTATGAAGGCAGTACTAGGAGGAAAGTTCATTGCTTGGAGTTCATTCCTTAAAAGAAGAAAAAGTCAACAAATAAATGCCTTAACATTACATCTCAATGCCTTAGAAAAAGAAGAACAAATCAACACCAAAGCAGTAAAAGACAGAAAATATTAAAATCAGAGCTGAAATCAATGAAATTGAAACAAAAGAAACAATTGAAAAAATTGAGAAAAGGAAAAGGTGGTTCTTTGAAAAACTAAATCAAATTGACGAACCCTTAACCATGCTAATGAAGAGAAGGAGAGAGAAAACTCAAATTACTAACATATGTGATGAAAAAGGAAATATCACAACAGACACTTCAGAAATACAGAAGATAATTAGAAATTATTTTGAAAATTTGAGCTCCCATTAAATAGACAATATTGAAAGGCAATGACAAATTTCTAGAGTCATAGACTTGCCCAAATTGAATCAGGATGATATACACAATTTAAACAGATCAATTTCAAATGATGAAATAGAAGATGCTATCAGAAGCCTACCAATCAAGAAAAGCCCAGGACCAGATGGATACACAGCCGAGTTCTACAAGACTTTTAAAGAAGAACTAATACCAATATTCTTCAATTTATTTCAGGAACTAGAAAAAGAGGGAGCACTTCCAAACTCATTCTATGAGGCCAATATCACCCTGATTCCAAAATCAGGCAAAGACACATCAAAGAAAGAAAACTTCAGACCAATATCTCTAATGAACATAGATGTAAAACTTCTCAATAAAATTGTGGCAAATCAAATACAAAAACACATCAAAAAGATAGTGCACCATGATCAAGTGGGGTTGGTTCAACATATGGAAATCAATAAATGTAATTTATCACATCAATAGACTCAAAGATAAGAATCATATGATCATCTCAATAGACGCAGAAAAAGCATTTGACAAAACACAGCACCTCTTCATGTTCAAAACACTAGAAAAACTAGGGATAACAGAAACATATCTCAACATCATAAAGGTTATGTACGCTAAGCCCCAGGCCAACATCATTGTAGATGGAGAAAAATTGAAAGCATTTCCTCTTAAAATGGGAACAAGACAGGGATGCCCTCTTTCACTACTTCTATTTAACACAGTTCTTGAAACACCAGCCAGAACAATTAGACAGACGAAAGCAATTAAAGGGATATGCACAGGAAAAGAAGAACTCAAATTAGCACTATTTGCCAACAATATGATTCTATACCTACAAGACCAAAAATATTCCACCAGAAAACTTCTAGAACTAGTAAATGAATTCAGCAAAGTAGCAGGATATAAAATCAACACCCACAAATCAAAGGCATTTCTGTGGTTTGGAAATATATGTCTTACTCTATCCTAATAACTCTGAAATCCCCTGAAAGGGAAATGAGGAAAACTACCCCATTTACAATAGCCTCAAAAAATTAATATACTTTGAAATAACCTAATAAAAGAGGTGAAAGACCTCTACAATGAAAACTACAGAATGCAAAAGAAAGAAATTAAAGAAGACCTTAGAAGATGGAACGATTGCCCTTGTTCTTGGATAGGAAGAATTAATATTGTCAAAATGACCATACTACCAAAAGCACTAAACAGATTTAATG